GTAGTCGCGCGCCTCGTTAATCCCCCCCCCCCCAGCCGGTCGTCGAGGGTCCCTTTGGCGCGCGTTTTTTTTGTCTTTCTTTATCCCAAAAAACAGAAAAAAAAAAAAAAAAAAAAAAAAAAAGTCTCATTGTCGCGATGCACGTGCGAGCTGTTTCGTACCAACAGCAGCCGAGCCGCGGGCGTTGCAGGGACTCGAGAGAGCTCATCGATCAAAATCCCCAACGAAAAGCTGTTGCTGCATATGGGCGCTCTCGTGTGTTTCGTTGACAGCCGGATATACTCGGCACTCCACGGGCTCTTCTAATGTATCGGGCGCTCGTTTTGAAGGGCCACGCGTACACGCGTATACACACACGACAAGTACCGGCCACTTTGATTATACCCACGGTGTGGAGAGTTTAAAAAACGAAAACGCAGCCACACTAGCGGTGATGTCGTGTCAATTATTTGACCCATACGATCGGGGCTCCATAGGCTGCGGATCAAAGACAAGTGAAAAATATGTATTTAAAGTTTTTACGGTACAAGAGCCGAGCGAAAAAACAGCACATTTGAATGTGCTCCCGTGGGTTGGCGTACACATGGGGAGGAGGGCCACCATCACGGCGTAATGAATTTGTCAAACGACTGCACCGGCACGGACGAGCTGATGGTACAACTGTTACCCCTCGAATACATTAACAGAGCGAGTCCTCCCCTTTTCCCGCAGATTAGAGGGATCCCTTCGAGGTTGGGGGAGGAAGAAAAAATGTTGTTCTTGCTCGTTGAACGAGCTAATTGAACGAGCTGGCAGCAGAGACTCGAGGGGTGGGGGGTCACCGCGGGTTTTTCTTTCGTTTTCTCGTCGTTCTTCTGTTACCGCGCGACTTGCTTCTGGGTGTATTATACGGGGGGGGGAGGTGGTAGGTATATATACATATATATATGTAGCGTAGCCAACGGAGGCAGCCAAAAGTTTTTGCCACTCACGGAAAATTTTACTTGCTAAAACAGTCTGCATTTCAAGCGAACGAGGGTGGAGGGGTATAATGTTACATTCATTCGGGACCTCGAATGGAAAATGCCGATCAAAGTGGAGAACTTTACCATTATGCAGGGAACTGTGGATTATGTCGGGAAATTTTCGCTTTCCCCGGCGTATAGGGAGCAGCTGTCGGGTCGATTCGAAGTGGGGCGAATTTTCCACGCGATCGTAGAAAAGTCATGCGTCGTCTCATGCCACCCCCACGAGCGATTCGACACCGTTATTTTATAACCTACCTGTGCGCCCAACAGCACCCATATCCACGCGTAAAATTGAAGGAGAGCGCGACAATTGTATTCAACGTGAGCTTGAAATAAAAAGTACGGATGAATCAGAGAAGCGAAGGCTCTTTCATGGGGTGAGTGGAAAAAAGCTCGGGCTGTACTTGCAGAGCTTGCGGACGGGAGCGCGAAACGAGCAGCGCCTCTGCAACCGGTGGGAGAAAAACAGAGAGGGCCAAAGGGAGACGGACGGGAAAACAAGCCCCGGCTCGAGAGATCTCATCCTTGCCCCGTACCGCGTCTATTGGCCATTTTTCCTTCCCCGGCCACTCCTTTTTTTTCTTTTCTTGTTCCCTCCCTCTCTTCCGGACTTTGAATGTTTCAGGGAACCGTGAATAATGACAGGGCGGAAAAAAAGAGGCCGCTGCACTCGCAACTCGACAGATTTGTAAGAAATGATAATAATTACGGCGCATGGATCATTATAAATATATAGTAGAGGAGAGGAGAAAAAGGAGGGGTGCTTTTTCTGACTTTTATTCTGCGAGCTTGCACGTGTATACGTGTATAAGTGGAGAGAGCGGAGAATTTTTGGTAACGCAAAGGAAGCGCCCAAGGCTTCACAGTCCTCTTTGGTGTTTTTTTTTTTTTTTTCCTTTTTGTTTTTATTCTCGTCCTGTCGATTCGTGCAACATTCAAAGTTGTCAATTTGATCTTAATGCAACCGCGGTCTAACAACCGAGACAATAAGTGTCGGATGATTGTCACGAGAATGAAGCGATCTCGTGAATAATGAACTTGTACGATTGAAGCCAGTCACAAACGAAGTAATCAATTACTCGCGTCTGGTGGAGGCAAGGATCGAGCGAAAATGTTGCCGGGAAAGTCAATAAGGGAGAAGATAAAAGTCTCGCGTATTTAACGAGGCGCACTTTATTTTCGAGCGAAATGTCAGAAAACTCGGCTCGACAGCCGACGTGTATAATATACGGTGACTCGATTTCGAGAGTATCAATCAATCTGCTCGGGACAGGCTATAAAACACATATATACTCGAAAGTCAAACTCACGGAATTCCCATCAAGGATGAGAGATCGCGCTTTTGGAGATTTAGCCTCGTTGGAAATAAAATCAATACACCCGCTCGCCTGTCATAAAAATCGGCGGCTGTGTCTACGCGGGTCTGAACGGGAAAGGATCACCAAGACTATAGTATATATGATTTCACAAATATCCAAAGGAATATTTGTTTTGTCACTATTGAACAAAATAGAGAAAAAAATAATCCACTGCGGGTTGAAAAAAAAAAAAAAAAAAAAAAAAAAAAAAAAAAAAAACGAATGTACATAGAGCTCTCGTGCACACTGGTTCGGAGTACCAACGATGAGAGAAAACCAAATACTGGGGCCAGCTAATTTTTGTTGGCTGATGATCTGGTTGCTTGATAGCAGACGGTAAAACAGCCGCAAAACAAGATGTGACAAATGTACTCGGTGCAAACAGGCCACGGAGTCAGAGAAAAAGAAACTCGTATAGAAAAGGGTCGAAAAAGCAGTATAGTGGAGGCAGAAGGGAGAGAGCAAACCAAAACGGCTCTGCGCGGCTTTTACCCGTGCACACCCGATTAAACTTTAGCACGTTGTCGTGAGGTGTATGTATAGGTACCGTCGGACCAGCAAGTGCGCATCCATCAAAGAGGGACACAAATACACATATACTTGCGCTACTGTTTGGCGTTTCAATTTTCGATCTCGTCGCACAGTGGATGTAACGTTTGGTGCGGCCAAAGATCTCGTGCCATCTCAATAAACGGCGATCAATTAGGTATACATGCAGAATTAGCACAATCCAATTTACGCGGAGTCTACGATGTTGACAGGTTGTCGAGTATAAACCGCCGCTTGTGACTATACATTGTTGTAGGGGTAGAGCACGAACGCTGTATACTATTGGTTGTTTGGAGAAGCTCGAGACATTCGGTACATCACATGGAATAATAAATAAATACGACCGTATTTATACGTCGGGGGGGGGGAGTACACGTGTCGAGCAAGAAGTGATAAATTTACACGTACTACTTCTCGGCTTACCCGAAGCTTTTGTTTTCCATGACAAAAATAAAAGCCGATTGTTAAAACATTTGGTACATACAGTTGCGGAACAAGCTACTCTACATCAAAATATTCGTATAAGATTCAACGGCACGGGTGCTCCAAAAGACAAGAAGAAGAAAAAAAATAAAATGACACAATACGACGTAATGTCACGAAAGCGTGCAGCCACGAAAGAAGAAACTGCGTTTGTGTACATATATATATGTAAAGCAAGCACGCACATGCCTCGAGTGGAGAGCTCATTTGCGCGATTCGGCACGTGTGTGTAAATGTACGTGGCAAAGGGCTTTGCAGTGCGGCGAGCAAACTTTCCAAGGCGGACGAGGCGAAGTAAAAAAAAAAAAAAAAAAAAAAAGCCGGGGTCGTCACATCGCAAAGGGGTACAGAGGAAAAAAAAAAAAAAAAAAAAACCTCGGGGAAGGGAAATTTGGGGGACGCGCACTTCCGAGGCTTTTTCTTTGCCTCCGTCGATAGGCTGCAGTGGCGCCCTTTCTTTCCCAGCATCGCGTATAATGTAATGCACGGTTCACTGCAGCTTAGGCACATAACAGCTAAGCACAGCCAGAGAGAGAGAGAGAGAGGAGCGCCAAAACGGGGGAGGAAGAGCGGTAGGCAAAGCGAGAGTGGGCGAACGAAAGCTTCCTTCCTGCACGAGCGGCTGGGGCCCCTTTGTCCAGGACCGCGCACAAAGGGAATGTACAGACGCGTTCGCACCGACCCCCTCCCCCCTTCTTGCCCGTGGTGTGGTACATGTATATACACTCGCTACAAAGTCGATGAGTCGCTGTACCCATACACCACGCGCGAAAGCTCTCTATATTTGCGGAAAGCTCCGTAGCCGTGTTTGTCGACAAGCGCGCGAGAAGCTCTGTTTTAAGTTGCGACGTGTATACGAGAAAGGCAGCCCCTGCACGTGCGTGCATCCATCGGGGGAGACGCAAACCGCGCTTCTTTGTTTCCGAGGCGTCTCCCGTGTACTTATACGTTTGTATGTAAGGCAGCGAGAGCGAGCTCGGTCGGATGGATACTGCGTATTTTCTCTTGTTCCAACGCGCGGCGAGTGGTTCGTGTATGAAGAAAAATTAAGAGCGCGAGGTGGTCCTGCTGATGCTGCTTCCGAGATGAAAAATGGTTCGGGGGAAGAAAAATTGCCCGAAGAAAGGAATCCGAGCTACCGGAGGAAAGGTACACCACTCCCGCTGTAATAATACTAGGTTTCCTCGTAGCAGCCCCCGGCTACGTCGTTTTATTGAAAAATCCCTCCCCCCCTCTCGCACGACAACATTTGCAGAGAGGGTACTACTACTACTACTACTAGCACTCTCTTCTTTGATGATACACGACAAAAAGGACTCGTTACGAGGGAGGTGCGTATACGCCCACCTGGGCTCGAAATGCCAACTACTTCTACGGCCGACGAGTAGATTAAATTCCAGCCGCGGATCCGCCAACTGATCCCAGAGCATTGCCTGCTTGAGACATAATATCTCGTAGGGTAGCCCTTTTAGGAATTTTGCCGAGCCACGTGGGACGATTCCCCTCCCTGCCACCCTGGTCGAGAACAATATATCAAGGGGGCGAGGGTAAAGCTCGCTACAGTTGCTTTTGGCGTGATAAAAAATTATTTGCAAAAACTCACCTTTCGATGTGTGATCCCCCTCGGGTGGCCAGCAGCAATTGCAAACGATGCTGAAACAAAAAAACAAATAAAAGGTAGGTAAATTATATTTATTACCATCGTAAATAAAAAGTAAAAATACAATGAAAGAAAAAAAAGTATTTATCGTGTGGCATAGGCGATAAAGAGCTTCCGATGGGCCAACCGTATAAAGGGGCTCCTGTCGATTATTTCGAGCGACTGAACTTTGGGTATTTGGCTTTATACATGGCACCTCGTACACACGCCGGAAGCCAATTTTCCGATTGGAGCTCATACTTTATACGAGCATCGACAAAAGCTGAGCGCCCTAGGAGGGCGAAAAACTGCCGAGAGTTTTGAAAGGTGGAGCCAAGGCACCGAGACGCTAGCAACTCGAGGGGATAAATTCTTGCGGCTCGAGGGGGTGGGGAGGGAGCTCTTTGACGCGCCGAACAATGACGAGAAAAGGAGTTACTCTCGAGCCGCGTCACCTGCAGCAACGCTGACGACGCAGTAACACCATACATCATGTATTGTATATATACGTGTGTGTACAGCTTGTGCCCAAGACCTCGGCTGCTCGGCATCTCCCACGATTGACTAGCTTTTTTTTTTCTCTCTCTCTCTCTGTACGTTACATATTTTTTTCGTTTTTCTCTCTGCTTTTTCTTCGGGCAAAATTAATAGGTGTATACGTTGTTGCGACGAGAGTTCGCGCAAGTGGCCGATCTTCTCCCGGGGCATTGTTGTAAAATCCACCTTTACCTCCTGCGTCTGCCCGTCGGTGTAATTACATTCCGCGAAGCGAGTAAAAGCCTTTGCGTTCGAAGCCACTCTCGTTCTCTTTGGCCTCGACGAGCGTCCATTAGCGGAAATGAAATTCAAAGCACTCGACGAGGCAAACACATATTACACCCGTAATATACATTGTCTCGGTGCATCGGTTGTACGGGCTCGAAAAGCGAGGATCAATTTGCCAATAACCATTGTAAAATTCACACCAATGCCACCCATATAGAGATCAGAGACCCCCTTCGACGCATCAGCTCAGTGCGCGCGCCCGAGGGTGTTCTCGGCTTTTGAAATTACAAAGATCGCGCTCCCCGATTGTATTTTATTAGCCCTCTCGCCCACCCGCGCGTAAAAAAAGCGGTCACGAGGTGCGGAGCAGAGGATACACATACACACAGCCAAGGAGCCCCCGCGATCGATACTCATTTGCGCGAGTCGCGGACCACTTTGCACCTCGCACTCCGGGAGCTGGCAGCGAACTTTTCACCGAGTTTCACTTTTTCTTCGCCACCCGTAAGCGGGTGGATTTTTAAAATTACATTATAAACCTCGATAAATTAGACGCAACGAGGGGGGGGGGGCTGTGAAAACGCGCTCCTTTGCACGCTCGAGCTAGCCGGGATTCAATTTTAAACTCGCGCTATTGTTCTCGCGCTAATTTCCCAGGGTGTACGAGGCTCTCCCGAGTTAAAAAACACGCGCGCGCGGGGCGCTCCTTTTCTTTTTTGGGGTTTACTTGGGGGGGCGCTATCAATGAAATTTACGAGGTTCGAACTATACGCTGCTCTACGCGATAAAAAGTTTTCCCCCGCCCCCGTAAATCGAAAAGTTGGCGATCATCGTGGAGATTATGAAGCATCAGCCAAGTGCGTGAGTGTACGTACTGGAGGGGCAGATAAGGGAGAAGGGTGGTGGCACGGCAGGGCGCAGTTAGAGGCGCAAAATACTTTGTACGGATCGCTATCATCCATGGGCAGCTACCTCGAAGCTGTTTTTACGCCAACGGTGCTTTTTTTTTCCGCGCAAATGGCACGTGTAAGTGAAAACTCACGCCAGCGTATGAAAAACAAGCAAAAGCCCCCACGTACACTGTAACACGAAGCTCCCTCCCTTTTTTGGGGGAGGGGGAGGTTGCGTTCGAAGAATACAATATACAACAGCCACGTAATTTCTTTTTGCACGAGAGAAAGGGCGCTCGATTCGCGTGCCACGAGCATACATATAGGTATATGTGTATACAACAGCCAGGGGCCATCGATCCGGAGAGCCCACCAGATCTCGTGCTTATGATGAGTCGTCGCGTGCTTGGATTACCGACTGATGAATTAGTTGTGGGTGGACGTGCGTACATTATGGTGGCATATACGCATGGACTAAGCCAATCTTTGAACCTTAGAGACAGGGATGAACAACAATTAAACCATACCAAAGACCGAAGGCGACTCATGACCGATGGGATGATTATTACAAGCGTGGAAGGGGCGCGTGGGAGAGAAAAATTATAAACGTATAACATAGAAGATGTTTATTTAATCACAAGGAGCAATGGGACGTCCAATTGATTATGGTATACCTTATAATTGAAGTACGTGCAACATAACATAATAATAATTGTAGAGGTGTTTTATGAGCCACAGTAAAGCTTGTAGTTTGCTACAGTACAAAATTCGTAGGTCTACATTGTTCCCGTATACTATTATACATAAGTCACGTGTAAGGAGGTATACACCCTGTGCCAATAACGCATACGTTTTGTTTTATCCCCCAATCTCGATGCTATTACCGAGTACCTGAAATAAGCGGGTCCAGAGCCGGATCGAGGGGCAACAGAGCTACGAAGATCCATACGGGCATAAGAAAAGCACAAGCGGCGTTGTTTTACTATGTATATGTAAGTGCTGCTCGGTGCTACCCGCTGCTACAGTGACGTATATTTTACGAGTTTTATCGGCTGAACTGCACACGCACACACACCCTTGAGGTACATTACCAATGCCTTTTGGGCATACGGGACGCCGTCGTTTCGCCCTTCGACCCATATAGTGCCCAACCGAGACGGCGTTTGTTGGCCGAGGGAGGGGAAAAAAAAAAAAAAGAGAGTGCTTCGACTCGCGTGAAAATCGATTCTCTCGCTCAAGACTCGCTGGGTGCAAGGGACACAGATAAGGGGGGAGGGCGCACCGAGAAAAAGTTTCGCTCGCTAATTCAATGGGCGTTCCTTAATAGGCTCCAGGCGCCGAGCTCCCGGGACACATACATATATACATGTTTGAAAAAGGCGATTGAAAAATTATTTCAACTTTGAACTTGCGACTCGAGCTATTTTACACTTTTAAGGTCAACGCGCGGAAATTCAGTGTTGTTCTTACCAAGGAAAATAGGGAAAAAGAGGGAGGGAGGGGGGAGCACTCGAATGCAGAAATTCAATTACCCCAGCCCAAGGGTGAACTTTGGAGGCATTAAAGTTTGAAAAAACTCGAAGTTCACCGAATAAGCGATCAAGGGAGGGGGGGGGGGGCATTTGCATGTCATTTCTGACGCGCGCGGAGGGAGGTGGTAGGTGTGTCCGGCCAAAGGGCGAAAAGGGGAGGGGACGAGGTAAACAATGGGAACGACAGGAAAAGTAAACGCACCTCTGCGGGAGGAAACAAAAAAAAAAGAGAGAGAGGATGGACGGCCTAATTGAGTACACCGAGGCAATAACAACGGTATTAGCGCGAGGAGCTCCCGGTCGTGAAATTTAACTCACCCCGCACTGAGCCCTTCGGCCCGAAATGAACCGCAAGCTTTTACGTATGTATTATATACGAGCAATTACGCGGCCCACCGCCAACCCCCGACCTCCTCCGCCCTGCATTCGTAGTACGAGAAAATATGCACGTTGCCCCCAGCTAATGCAAGAAAGAGATGCAATAATCTTTTTATCTTATGTAGATACGCTTTAAGAGCAACCGGATTGCGCGTATACGTTGGGAAGAAGCAGCGTATAATGTGTATAGCGGAGGGGAGGAGGTGGGTGTACCTACATCAGGTATATTATACCGCGTGGAAATTCAGCGATTTAGGCCAGCGTGAATGTTAACGAGCTCCTTTCGCGTCTACAGCCAGCCGGTGGTCGGTATACAGCCTGCACGAGGAGGAGCGCGCGGAGCAAAGGGATAAGGGAGTATATATATATTATATATGCGTAGATAAAGAGGTAACGCGCGGCACATGCCGTGGAAGGGGGGGGGAGGCTTTGACGGAGAGAGAAGTTATATGGGCACGATGAAGCTGATGACGTTTCCAGATCCGAGCGCGGATGCAGGCAACGTCAAAGCGAAACGGGCTTCGTTAATTTTGGGTTATATATATATATATCGGCAAGTCGAGCGAGCGGGATCGCTCAAAGGGGATTGTTGTATTTGCTCTCTTGGACTCAAACGTTACGCGGGTTATAGCCCCGTTTGGACTGCACCGGCGTCGATTATCCGAGTACGACTGCTTTCATCTCGGCGAATACAACGCGTTACCCCCCCCCCTCCACCTCCTCTTGGGTTTCTGTGATTAACTCCGTTGATGCGCTAATTAGATATTACATCAACGTAACCGTACGGATAAGCACTGATGTGTACAAGTACCAAATCATGTTTATTTATTTTTTTTTTTATTTTTATTTTTAATTAACGCGTGCGAGGAAAAGGGAGATGAAACGAGAAGAACCTGCATGTGTACGTTATGTTGCATCAGCTGTACCCACATAACATATACATTATTCATTGGAACCGCGGGTACAAGTGTCCACACGGGCATATAAATATAGTCCCCGTACCGATTTTACAGAGTCTATTATGATTCATCAATAAAATTCGTTCGTTGAGCCTCCGCTTGTCGCTGAATAAATAATTGCACGTGTTTTACTTTCACTCCGCGGGGAATTTGCGTCATATCGCGTTTCAATAAAAAGCGTAAGTCGAAACATCGTCATAGTCAGCATCGTCGCAGGTGGATATAACCCGTAGAGTACGTATGCAAATATGCTCGATTGACATTCCATGCCCAAATGAAGAGCGGGAAGCGATCGAAAGAGAAATCCAAGGTAATTTCTCCTGCCGAGGATGCAAATTAGCGCCTCTTCTTCTTCACGTGTTCGTATATATTAATTAATGTGCTTTTACAATGTACCATATGTATGGACGCGTAAGGTAAATGCATCTCCGAAACAAAGACAACAATGAATGTGGGTACAGCTCTCTCTTCTCTCTGCATAATGTGTAAT